ACATTTGCAGTCATTGTAAATGCATGCCGGTTGCCAAGCACCTGGATTTTCATTCTATGACTGGGGGGATGCTGCTATGGTTGTAAGTGCGAGGACTGGTTAGTTGTAAAATCACTTTTTCAAGTGCTATTGTACAGGTAGCCCTCGACTTACAATAGTTCATTTAGCAACCGTTCAAAGTTACAACAGCACTGAAAAAAGTGACTTTTTCACAGTTCTGAACTTTGCAGCATCCCCATGATCATGTGATCAAAATTCAGCTGCTAACTGCTTCATACTTATGACCGTTGCTGTGTCACAAAGTCATATGCGATCACCTTTTCCAACCTTATGACCAGCAAAGTCAAGGGGGAAGCCAGATTCACTTAACAACCAGGTTGCTAACCTATCAATTGCAGTGACTCACTTAACAACTGTAGCAAGAAAGGTCGTAAAATGGGGGCAAAACTCACTTAACAAATGTCTCACTGAACAACAGAAATTTTGGGCTCAATGGTGGTCGTAAGTTGAGGACTACCTGTAATTTTGAATGGTCGCTAAATGAATGGTTGTAAGTCAAGGACTAGCTATAGAACCTTTTCTCCTTTGCCTATCTGGAACCAGTCTGTTTCTCCCCTTTTCCCAAGAACCTTTCACAGCATTGACACTCAAAGGCCTTTCTAACAATCAACGAATCACATATTCTTTATGGCATTCTTTGGCTTTCTCAGCTATCCAAGGTGCATTAGCAATAGTGCTTCTTGTTTCTTGATCCTTTCTAAAACTAGCTTGAACATTTGGCACACGTTTTAAAGATGCCAAGGTTGAGAAACACTAATCTAGCAATTCCCTTTCCATCTAAGGCTGTAACCTAAATTAAATTTATCCTAAGCATTATTTTGCTAGTGTGTGAAATTAAGGATATTGTGCAAAGGTTTGCAAATGGTTATAGGAACTGAGTTGTCTCGTCTAATGAAAAGATGGATTAAGTGCCTTGGTAGTACAGTGGTTTAAAGCACCCTGTTATTAACACAGCTGCCTGCAATTACTGCAGTTTCGAATCTTACCAGGCTCAAAGTTGACTCAGCCTTCCATCCTTTCTAAGGTAGGTTAAATGAGGACCCAGTTTGTGGGGGCAATAAGCTGACTTTGTATAAATATACAAAAGTATGATGGCTATTGCTTAATGCATTGTAAGCCGCCCTGAGTCTCCGGAAAAGGGCGGCATATAAATCTCCCTTTTAAATTGGGGTTTTAAATGTTTTTAGATAAATTGGATGTCTTAAATTTTTTTTTTGAGCCTAAATTATTTAATCTGTTTTTAATAGTTTTTTAACTTTTGTATGTCTTTGTATTTTATCTTGGCTGTTCACCGCCCTGAGTCCTTCGGGAGTAGGGCGGTATACAAATATGATAAAATAAAATAAATAAATAAATAATAAATCAAATTTTTTAAAAAAGGGAGACATGATAGCACTGTTCCAATATTTGAGGGGCTCCTACAAAGACGGGGGGGGTCAAACTATTTTCCAAAGTACCATAAGGCAAGACCAAAAGCAATGGTTGGAAACTAACCAAGGAGAGAAGCAACCTAGAACTAAGAAGAAATTTCCTAAAGGTGAAAGCAATCAACGAATGGAACAGCTTGCCTTCAGAAGTTGTGGATGCTCCATCACTGGAGGCTTTCAAAAAGAGACTGGACAACCATTTGTCTGAAAAAGGGTCTCCTGCTTCAGCAGGGGGTTGGACTAGAAGACCTCCAAGGTCCCTTCCCACTCTATTATTCTATGTTCTGTGTAAATCTGGTATCTGTATGTAAATTGACTTCTTATAAACTGTTGGCTACCGTGTCATTCTCCAGATTTGATGGCATAGTTTGTTAACAAGTTTTATTACCGTAATTCTTCTTCTGGTGCTCTATTTCTGTAGATATTCCTACAATTTCTATTAACCTTCCAACTTGGATAATGGCTAGAATGCTAAACTAACTTAATCTTCTAATATCAGAGGATCTTGTATGCAGGAAATACCTTCTTAAGACATCTTGGGTGTCAACATCTTTATTCTACTGGATTTTAGTATAGTTGCTTCCATTTCTCTTTGATCTCCTGTGGAACAGTTTCTATCTCTCTATGGAATCGCTTAGCATATTAATTCGAGATTGGAACCTCTTTCTGGAGATCTTTTGGAAGATTTTCCTCGTTTTTCTGTGCCTGTTTCCATCTTGGATGTCTTACAGATGTCCTTATAATGCTGTTTCTCATCTCTTCCAACAGCTCTCTGAAGTTCTTTGTTAAATTCCTTCATGAGATCTTTATCTTTTCTTGGCTTTGGCTTCTCTTTTTGCCCATTCCCACCATCTGTTCTGATACGCATTTTTCTTTCTTCTGACTCTCGGTTCTTGCCAATCTCTTTCTACATTCATCCATAAAAACACATTTGGTTTCATTTCATAGTTTCTCTGATTTCCTATCAATGAGGTCCAGGATTTTGAAGCATGTTCTCCTTGAAAATGGTGAGG